TTTTTTATTTTTAAAGAAATTCCAAAGTTTCAAGTTACACTGCCGGCGCTTGCGGCCGGAATGTGGCCGGGGCATGTCACAACAGTAGAGGGGGAGAGAGAGGAGGAAGGAAGGAGTGGGAGGGAAGGGGACAGGGGGGTTGCATGACTGCATTGTGCCATCCCCATCAATAGGTGGACCCCCTCCCGGCCCCATAAAGCTGCCGGAGCCAAAGCTGGCAGCCTCTGCTGTCTGAGATCGCAGCTGCCAGTAAGGGCGCTTGGAGTGGGGCTGCAGAGGACAGCTAGCGCTGCCCCCCCATGCGGCCCAAACCAAATGTATGTGTGGTCCAAACCAAATTTTCATCTTCTAATGTGGCCCAGAGAAGGTGAAAGGTTGGACACCCCTGCCTTAGGGTCAGTACGAGTTTGAAAGGAGCCTGTGTACCTGCTCGGAGAAGCGCAGGGTCCCTCTATGCCGGTGCTAAATGCATGGCAGGAGGTCTGAGGCCTGTGTGTCCAAAAGTGTGGTTAATGGTATGATTCTGCTTCTTCTATCGTGTCACCACATGATACCACACATTATCATGTCACCACACAATACCACATAATACCACACATTAACCTAATGCTTTGTGAGCGTTGTTTGAACATCTTCAACAGATTGCTTAGAGAATTCAGTCACTCGTCCACTTTGGAAAAATCTGAGCTTTCACTCTGGAACTCCACTCAAGGCAGGACTCAGAGCTGTCCTCAGGCAGGATTGAAAGCTGCTTTGTGTTCCAGTCATCTTCAGCCTGTTAAGAATGAGCCTTTGTTATTTGTGTAATCCCTGGATTCTGTTCCTTGGTCAGACTTCTATGGAACAAGTCACACATGCTTGGAATGAATCTTTGTTTAGAACTACTTGTCTGTGCCCCTCCCTTATGCTCTTTTCTCAAAGCTTTGGACATTTTAAAAGGAAATTGTTGCATTAATCAATACCTTTCACTAGTCAGTTACCATTATAGTTGCTCCAACTGCATTAGTAATTAATTCCTTTGCACATTGTATTACCATTGACAACAGAATAAAAACAAATATGAGGAATACTCTCTGGTCCCTTCTAGTGGTCAATTCTGATACTGCACCTTGAAAATATTTATAGAGACCTACAAGACAAAATCAAAAACTATTTTCCTCGATACTTAGGCCTCATAAAAGAATGGCATAATACCTGAAAAATGCCTATCAAATTCTTCTAAAATGACTTGAGATGCCCTGAGGTGAATTGTTACAGCTAAGTAGTGCTTTTGTATTGTTTTGAATATTGCTTGTTACACAAAAGGCAAAGAAAATAATTGTAATTTGAAACAGAAAAGGTCTGAGATAGTTAAAATCATATCCTAGTATCTTGTGCACTAGTACTTAACTCATTTTCCAATTCATTCTCTAAAATTTTTATTAAATTCAATGCATTAAAAGCAGAGTTCCAAAGTAACTGGTTACAGTTACTGATTGTAACTAATTGCTATTGAAGTCTCCCTTTTGTTCATTCTATTCTCCCTCCATAGTTTTCCATTCCTTCCCCAGAAGGCAGTCAACATTCTGTGGCCTCTGAGCATGCTCAGTCATCATTGAAACACAGTCATACCACTTATTTGTGGCTCATTCTATTTTATTGATTTATTTATTGGACTTCTGTCCCACCCATCTAGACCAAAGGTCTACTCTGGGCGGTTTACAAATTTAAAAACAATAAAACCAAAAAACATATATTATAGATCCAAGGTGGATCTACATAAGGATTCCTATCTAGAGAAGAAGTCCATTACTAGTACATGAGATATCAGCTGAAGACACTTCACTACCTTTGGGCTTTTCCTTTGTCTAATAACAATTATTTTCCTTGCACATGGCTTTTGGAATAATTGTTGCAAGCTTTTAGCGGGTTCTTAGTTAAAGTGGTTTTGTAACAACATAAACACCACTATGGTCTGGGGTGGTTGTTGTTGTTCTTACTAAAGGAGCAAAGACTACAAACTCTTACCCTCACCTTGCTTTATTGATAATAACTGAAAACTTTTTTGTTTTGTTTTGTTCCGTTTTCTTAGGGATCATAAGAGCACTAATGGAAGCAGGGATATTTTTTTACAGGCATTCTCGTCTATCAGGGTTGACTAGTGAAAAAGACATTGAAAGGCTTGACACGACTGGACAAAAATTGTCAAGGGGAACCTTTACCTTTACTTTTCCTTGCACGTGGCTTTTGGAATAATTGTTACAAGCTTTTAGCGGGTTCTTAGTTAAAGTGGTTTTGTAACAACATAAACACCACTATGGTCTGGGGTGGTTGTTGTTGTTCTTACTAAAGGAGCAAAGACTACAAACTCTTACCCTCACCTTGCTTTATTGATAATAACTGAAAACTTTTTTGTTTTGTTTTGTTCCGTTTTCTTAGGGATCATAAGAGCACTAATGGAAGCAGGGATATTTTTTTTTTTTTTACAGGCATTCTCATCTATCAGGGTTGACTACTGAAAAAGATATTGAAAGGCTTGAATGTGGCCTCATAAAATGCATTGTGAATCCTAGCATCACTTAATTATCAACAGCTTTTTATGAGCTGGACTCTTCTCCCAAGAATATAATCCACAAACACTTTCACTACAGGTTCTATTAAAGGGAATAGCAAGGAAAAAAAAGCACAACTATCTGTGCTCTTTCATGTCTACTTTTTATTTTAAAATGGTTGACACAGCCCTATGGCTCACAATCTAGGCTGTTGACTCTTAAGACATTCCAAGAGTGGGCTTTGATATTATTTATTTATTTTTATTTATTTAATTAACTTATATGCCGCCCACACTACCCGAAGGTCTCTGGGCGGCTTACAGCATTTAAAATACAATAAAAGGGCAAAATAAAAGGGCAAAATAATTAAAATGCAATTAAAATATATATTCTAAAAATTGCCATCAGACCTACAGCTGATATTATTTCAGTTAAAAGCCATTTGGAACAGGAAGGTTTTGACCTGGCGCCGAAATGTCATCGGCGTCAGTGCCAGACAAATCTCAGTCGGGAGGGCATTCCATAGTCTGGGGGCAGCTGCCGAAAAGGCCCTTTCTCTACAAGCCATCCCTCTTACCTCCTTGAGGGATGGCTCTTTCAAAAGGGCCCCCTGGCTAGATCTTAACTGCCGGGTAGGTTCATATGGAAGGAGGCGGTCCTTCAGGTATCCAGGGCCCAAGCCGTTTAGGGCTTTATATGTCAAAACAAGCACTTTGAATATGTAGGAAACCTTAGAGGTACACACATTCCTTAATTAACATACAAAGAGACTTCTGGATTGGACTATCTACATCAGTATACAATTTTTCAGTCAGGGCCGGCCCAAACTTCGGGTAAAGTGAGGTTAAGTTCAACTCCCAGTCAGTTGCTTCTGGATGTAGAATGGACAGAAGAGCATCAGATTTGTCCCTTGCTTCAGGCTGCAAAAGGCTTTGGCCAGACTCAGATCATAATGGCAACCAGAGTCTTCACAGATGTATCGTAAAGCCAGTAGCTTTTAACTTTTCCACAATTTCCTGTTCCAAATACTTGTAGATATAACTGACCTGGAAAGATGAGCAGTTTGGCCTCTTTATGTCCAATCTGCTGCTCCTCAACCTGAGCCTTCAAAATAAAACAAATTTCAAAAATCTAAATGCAAAGAATTACAATCATTTCTGGTTTTCAGATCCACAATATTCCCCTAAGATATAAAAGCTTGGGTTGGGTTTAATATTTGGCATTTCCACAGAGCAAAGAACAAAAGAATTTAAAGTAGGACTAGGCAGAAATGTTCAGTTTGCATCTTGAAACTTCACTATGACCAAGAAACAGATGTTCATAAAATTGCCTTATTTTGTTTGAGACTGCTGTTAAGAGTCCCCTGCAAGGACCAGAGGGGAACTGATGAGGAGGGTGAGGAACTAGGACCATGCATCCTGGTGGACATGTCTTCACAGAGCAGGGTGGGAGATATGAGAGGCTGACAAAGGTGAAACAACAGAGAAACGGAGTTTTGCATCCAAAAGATGAGGTTTGCTCAGTATCTAGAAGGAACAGCAAGTAGGGAGGAAATGATAGGGTCACAGAAAGAGATGGGAAGAGTTCTCAACTAGAGCTAAAGTTCTGGCCCAAAGAAGCTGCTACTAGCTGGGCGTGTGGTTGATCCCATAGGTAGCAGCACTATAAATAGATTCAGTTCTTCAAAAAACCTGAAGTTTATGGATGTGGAGTATTGTGCTTCTGTACCCACGATTCAAAAAGCCATGAAATGGCCCAATATTGCTACACATTATTGTGTCTGCGTTACTAGCAAGGAAAAGGATGTCAAGCTTTAAATAGCAAAGAGTAGCCTGAATGTTGACAACACCAATGACAGCAGTCAAGATGATCTACGGGATACCCTATTCTGCTCACTACTTTCCCACTTGTTGAAAAACAGTCCTGACAATTGCTTTGTATTTGGGTGAGAAGTGGTTAATTGATAAAGAAAGAAGTCAGCTTCTGGGATTTTCCCCTGTATGGTGTAATTTTGTGCATGGTAGTGGTGCTGGGAGACTCCTGTTCAACACCTGGACCAATAGCCTGTAGAGTGTCTCAGGGTTCCATGATTCCCCATACTATTTCACAAAAACATGAAAAACCAGAAAGAGGTTGTCCAGAATGTTGTGGTCTGGTGCCACCAGTGTGCTGCTGACACCCAACTCCATCTGCTTTTTAAGATCTTCCAGGAGGCCCTTCCTCAGTCTCTCAAGCCCTAGTGTGTGGTCACCCAGCCTGTTTGATTTGAAATAAGCATTTATATTTGCTGCTCAAGTAGCAACTTTAATAAATAATAATCCAGTACTTAATATGTGATGTCTCGCTAGTAACATGTTTCCTGGCTAACTCACAGATCTTCATCAGTGATGGAAAACTCCCTTAATTTCCTTGCTTAACATAATTAGGCATATTCTTTCATATGCTTCCCTTTTTTTTCTTTTTGTACAGTCCTGCTGCATCTCACAGTATCCTTCAATGTTGATGTGAAAGATACGATGACCTTCAGTGGTCCAGTGGAAGATATGTTTGGATACACCGTTCAGCAGTTTGAAAATGAGGAAGGGAAATGGTGAGATTATTTTTCTGGATCATTCCACCCACCATCCCTGCCCCAAAGAAAACATAAACAGCATTAGCCTTTCCTTCTTGTGTTATGCCTCATTTCCTTTGTTATCCTTGCCCTGCTAATTATATTACATTAAACTATGGATCTTTAAAAATACAAGGACCCGGGGTAAAATGGATGAGAAGAAGAATATATCTTCTTTCCTTTTTTAGGGTGCTTATTGGATCTCCATTAGCTGGTCAGCCCGAAAAGAAAACAGGAGATGTTTACAAATGCCCTGTAGGACAAAGCAGTGGCTCACTTTGTGTAAAACTGAACTTGCCAGGTAAGAGAGTGAACGACTTAGCAGAACTCAGAAAAGGCCCAGCACAGGAACGGTGAAGGCCTTAGTGGTGCCTCGACTTACGAACATCCCTCCTTACGACCATTTTGAGTTATGACCCGTAGGACAAAGCAGTGGCTCACTTTGTGTAAAACTGAACTTGCCAGGTAAGAGAGTGAACGACTTAGCAGAACTCAGAAAAGGCCCAGCACAGGAACGGTGAAGGCCTTAGTGGTGCCTCGACTTACGAACGTCCCTGCTTACGACCATTTCGAGTTATGACCAGCTCCGGCTGCAAAATTTTGCTTTGACTTGCAGGTGGAACTTCCAGTTATGAACAGAAAAAGGCAGGGGGAGAAAGGCGGGAAATTCAAAGTGCTAACTGTAGGTGTCGAACAGGCTGCTTCTTTGTAGCTCTTTCGCCCCAGCAGTTCGAGAGTGTATGATTGGAGGAGGCTTGGGACTGCCTGGTAAGGTAAGGTGCTGCTTTCTGTTTTTTAAAGCCCCAGCGCCTTCGGGGATTGCTTTATTGTTTATTTTTGGTTTTTGGTTTTTTGCAGCCCCAGCGCCTTGCGACAGGGCTTGCTCCTCTGTTTATTTCTTTTTAAAGCCCCACACCTTCAGGGCTTGCTCTGTTGTTTATTTTTGGGGTTGTTTGTTTTTCTGCAGCCCCAGCATGTTCCTATGGGGCTTGCAATGTTTTATTTTTATTTTATTTTGAGGGGGGGGAGTTCTTCTGGAACGGATTAATCACGTTCCAATGCATTTCAATGGAAAATGGTGCTT